AAAATGGGGAAAAATGGGGGAAAATGGGGGAAAATGGGAAAAAATGGGGAAAAATAGGGAAAAATAGGGAAAAATGGGGAGGAAAATGGGGAAAACGGGAGAAAATGGGAAAAAATTGGGGGGGAAAATGGGAAAAATAGGGAAAAAGGGGGGAAATGGGGGAATAATGGGAATAAAATGGGAAAAATTGGGGAAAAAATGGGAAAAATTGGGGGGAAAATGGGGGAAACCGAGGAAATTGGGGAAAATGAGGGGAAAACGAGAAAAATGGGAAAAACGGGGAAAATGGGGGGGAAACGAGGGGAAAATGGGGAAAAATGGGAAAAGGAGAAAAAACGGGAAAAATGGGGAAAAAATGGGGGAAAAGGGGGGAATGGGGAAATTGGGAAAAAATGGGGGAAAAATGGGAAAAAATGGTGGAAAATGGGGAAATATGGGAAAATATGGGGAAAAATGGGGGGAAATGGGAAAAATTGGGAAAATGGGAAAAAATGGGGGGAAATGGGAAAAAATGGGGGAAAAATGGGAAAAATCGGGGAAAATGGGAAAAATGGGAAAAAATGGGGAAAAAATGGGGAAAAATGGGGAAAATGGGAAAAATGGGGAAAATGGGGGAAAAATGGAGGGAAAAAATGGGTAAAAATGGGGGGAAATGGGGAAAAATGGGAAAAAATGGGGAAAAAATGGAAAAAATGGGGAAAAATGGGAAAAAATGGGACAAAATGGGGGGAAATGGGAGAAAATGGGGGGGAAACGGGAAAAATGGGAGAAAATGGGAAAAAATTGGGGAAAAAAGTGGATTTGGGCAAAAAAAAATGGGAAAAATGCTGGGAAAAGAGGGGGAAGGGCTGGGAAAAGGCTCAGGGGGGTTCCAAATTCCCAAATAATTCTGGGAATTGGCGGGAATTCCCGTTTTCCCAGCGTATCACCAGCGCTGCCACGTGCCCCCTCCCCCCGGCGGCGCCGGGCCCTGGAGCTGCCGCCGCTGCGTCTTCGCCGTGGCCACCAAGGTCAGCCGGGAATTCCCAACATTCCCAAAAACTCCCAACATTCCCAAATTCCCAACAATTCCCAACAACAATTCCCCAAATCTCGCCCCACTGTGGAAAAAAACGTCGAGTCGGGGGCCCCAAATCCCGGGATTCGACCCCCAAATCCCAATTTTAGCACCTGAAATCCCGTTTTTCCGGCTGGAAATTCCCGGTTTTTGGGCTCCCATCCCGGTTTTGTGCTTCCAGCTCCAAATTTTGGGCTGGAAATTCCCAATTTTCGGGGTCCCAATCTCGGTTTTGGGGTCAGGATGGAGTTTTTTTGTAGCCCCAATCGTGATTTGTTAATTCCCGCTGGAATTCCCGTTAATTCCTGGGGTTTTCCCGTTAATTCCTGCTGGAATTCCCAGGATTTTCCCATTAATTCCCGGGGTTTTCCTGTTAATTCCCACCGGAATTCCTGTGGTTTTCCTGTTAATTCCCGGGTTTTGCCGATGTAATTCCCAGTGTAATTCCTGGTGTTTTCCCACGATTTTGCCTGTGTGAATTCCCATTTTTCCAGGTGTTTTCCCGGTGTTTTCCTGGCGTTTTTCCCAGTATTTTTCCCAGTGTTTTTCCCGGTGTTTTTCCCGGTGTTTTCCCGCTGTTTTCCCGCTGTTTTTCCCGGTATTTTTCCTCGTGATCCCTGGTATTTTTCCCAGTGTTTTTCCCATTGATTCCCGGTGTTTTTCCCATTGATTCCCGATGTTTTCCGGATGTTTTCCCATTGATTCCCAGTGTTTTTCCCTGTGTTTTCCCGGTATTTTTCCCGTTGATTCTCGGTATTTTTCCCATTGATTCCCGATGTTTTTCCCAGTGTTTTTCCCATTGATTCCCGGTATTTTTCCCGTTGATTCCCGATGTTTTTCCCGGTGTTTTTCCCGTTGATTCCTGGTGTTTTTCCTGTTGATTCCCGGTATTTTTCCCATTGATTCCCGATGTTTTTCCCAGTGTTTTTCCCATTGATTCCCGGTATTTTTCCCGTTGATTCCCGGTATTTTTCCCGGTGTTTTTCCCGTTGATTCCTGGTGTTTTTCCTGTTGATTCCCGGTATTTTTCCCATTGATTCCCGATGTTTTTCCCAGTGTTTTTCCCATTGATTCCCGGTATTTTTCCTGTTGATTCCCGGTATTTTTCCCGTTGATTCCCGGTATTTTTCCCGTTGATTCCCGATGTTTTTCCC